GCTCAGTAGTCTACTGGTCTTTGTGGCTCAGTAGTCTACTGGTCTTTCTGGCTCAGTAGTGCTGGGACGACGTGTCTCGCCGCCACCGGTTCCAGTAAACAACAACAACAAACATAAAACGAAGTGAAATCTTCACTCTTTATCGACGATATGAAGAAGACTTCCGTCGCACGTGTCAGTGCAGCTGAGTTCTGCTCCGCCTGTGGTTTGTGACCAGTCTGAAGAGAAAAGACAAACTGGTCTGTGTGGCCATTGAAATCTGAAAACCTCCACTCTCATACTTGGATTCAGAACCCTTCGAGCACTTGGACGGCCGAACCGCCGCAGAAAAGCTTTGGTTTCACCCCAAACCTGCGTCACGTAAGCTGGACCTACAGTGAGGCCATTCAACAGCTGCTGCATCTCCAACTGGTCATGACTTGTTGAGAACCCACTTTAAAATGGCCGTCCTGTCTCTCAAAGCGTTCCCGAGCCACCAGCAGCTCCTGGTTCAGACCCAGCATCCAGCCTGAGCATGAACGTGTACAGCTGTTGTACATAATGAAGTCTGTGACTGAAACGTGGTCTTCTGAAGCTCTTCATCACTTTTTCTTTAACCTCATTGTCCTGTTTACCAAAAGTATGTTTGCTGCTACCATGTACATAAAATATAAGATACTACGACATTACACAGAAAGGCCAAAATCTTGTTCTCGTTCTGACAGTAGGTTATGAAGCTATTCTTAATTATTCCTATAGAACTTGTTTGTATTATCCTTTGTGTTGGATCGTCTCCTTGTTTCCTCCGACTGGTTTGACTGGGAGCGGCTCCAGTGTGCTTCAGGTGGACCCCCCCCCGCTCTTTGTCCTTCGTATCTCCGTAGCCCTGACGCAAGAACCTCACGAGCCGTCTTGGACAGAACTGGCGTTTTAGTTCGGCGAGCGCTCGTTCTGTAGTTGCTCGGCTGTAGTGAGTGCCGTGCGCTTCCGTGCGCTTCCTGTAAACGCTGCAAAACCAAAAGAACGCCTCGCATCGTTCGTCACCTTCGTCTGGACTTCTGTCACTTTTTGTCAAATGTCCGAGCGGCGTAAAATCGTTTGGAGCTTTTTGTTTGGGCCTCCAGATGAAACCGTTGCTCCTGCTGCGTTTTTAAGACCAGTGCGTCTGCGTGTTTTTAATGTTAGTGGTGTAACGATGTGTGTGTGTTCGTAACGAACAACTCCGCTCAGATGTTCTGAAGATGGTCTGAGGTGCACGCATCTGGACCAGGTGCGCCCGTCTAGAAACAGCTGCCCGTTTTATTTAGCTGCGTTTTGCTAACAGCCACAACAGAAAAGGAGCGCAGAAGATACTAAATGTGGTACGGCAAGCAGTTATGTCATTTATTGAAACTACGTTGGCAGGCCATTTGTGCATTTGATAACTCTGACATCCAAAGTCATGAGCTCAGAGTCCGTTTGTCCAGATGTTCAGTTCCGGTGGTCAGATTACCCGAAGCAAACGCGCCTTGCTTGGTTTTATTATTATTGTTTGAAAATGTTCACGCCACCTTTATGATGCCTTTGAAGCGTTCCTCGAACTTTGTGCAAGGCCTGAAGGTATGAGCAGAAACTTGTGCCGTCACAATCTGATCGCTCGGACTGAAGCGGGTGAAGACGATGGACCAGGATTCACGGAACTTCAAATTAAATCCATTGGTTTGAAAAAGAATTTCACTCAAATGAAACTGAATTCATTTGCTTTGGAACATTTTCAGTTCTATAATTTAAATTCAAAAATTCATTTTTTGTGTCACATCCAGGTCCTTCAGAAAGACACGGAGTAATCCAACGCAGAGTGACGTTTCACGTCAGCAAAACTTCGAGGGGAATGTAAGCGTGGGGCTCGTTCTCAGGAGACGGTAAAACACCAAAGAAGAAGAAGAACTTCCTTTACGGAGTATTTTGAGTTCATGTGGAGTTCATGTGAGGTCACACTGCTCCAGCTCAAACTCCGTCCAGGAAGTTCTTCTTTGGTGTTTTACGGCAGATCGCATCCGCTCTGTTGTTACCGCCTCCTGACACCGAACCCCACGCCAACATCTGGGGGCACGGGGGGCTGTGGCTGAGAGGTTCGAGCAGTCGTCCTCCAACGGGAGAGTTGGGGGTTCGATTCCACCAGCAGTCACATTCTGAAATGTCCCTGGGCAAGACACTGAAGCCCTCATTGCCTCTGATGTGTCTGAATGTGATAAAGCTCTGATTAGTCTGTGCAGATCTAGTATAGAGCTGTATGAATGGATAAGTGAGGCACAGATTGTTGTGAAGAGCTTCGAGTGTCTAGATGAGATAAAAAGGAGCTGCATATTCGTAAGTACCGTCCAGGTACATTTACACAAAGGAAGATTCACTGACGTGAAACGTCTGCGTTCGATTAATCCGTGGCTTTCTCAAGAACCCGGATGTGACGCAAGAAACTGAAAATTTGAAAACAATGAAATTTTCAAACCAATTAATTTAATTTCAAATTACGTGAAAAGAGATTCAGTCTGATCGATTCAGTTTGTCCATTTGAAGAGCACAGTTTACAGTTCACACTGGACGATTGAGAGAGGACGATATATATATATATATACACA